ACTCCAACTAAAAAAAAAAAAAGGAACCAACCAGATTAAATAATGGCCAGCGGTGCCCCTGTTTATTTAGACATAGCATTCTTGCTGGGAACACTACCCCCAGCACCTGGAAGGGGCCTGTGAGGCTGTGTTATAAAAACATCCTCCTGGTACAGGTGGTACTGACTGGGCCTCAACGTTCTGCCTTCTGTGAATTCCAGGGAGTATCATCCAAGGCTGAATGAAAGGTTCACGCCACTGATTCGGTGGTTCGTGAAGGTGTCATGTTCAGGCACTGTTATTCTCTATAGAACAGCAGCACTCAGTGCTAACTTCGGATTTCTCTGAAGCAAAGATATTCACTATAAATCTGCTGAGCCCTGGAGAGGGGAATGGTGAGGAGGGGGCGTACCTTGATTGACACTACTATCTCCAAAGACCTGACGAAAGATGATTCTGTTTTGGAGAAATCAAAAACATGTTTCAAAGAATTTGTTTTATCTGATAAACAGCTGATCCTATTAGCTCCTAATGTTCATAAAGTCCAGCCTGCTGTTCAGTCAGACTTTAAAACACAGGTAGAGTGGTGCTGGGACTGCCTAAGGAAGACTTAAAGTCATTTTAAAAGAAAAAGAATGCAAACTGGATTAGCAACGGAATTCTCTGGCTAATAAAATAAGTTTATTTATATATACACGGTAGCTGAATTCTGTGGATAAGAAAAAATAAGTCATACATCCACATAGGTATATATAACATATGTATCTTTGATTACATATATTATATATAAATTTTACTTTACAAATAGATTTCTCTCTATATATACTCACAGACATTGATATATTAAATGCAATAGCTAACAGAAATATCATGATAGGGTTAGAAAGATCAGACAGCAACACGTTAGAAAATGAATCCCAGAGAAACATTTAGCTTGCTTCTTTGTGGGTTGAAAAGTCTTTGGAGAGAGACAGCAACTGAACTCAGGTTAAGTAGGTTCATACAACATTGAGAACACACATTTTTGAAGGCCATCTTTTTTAAAAAAGGAAAATGCAGAAAGAAAGAAAAAGCTCATGATAAAAAGACCACAGCAACGACACAAACGTATGAATCGACATTCAAGTTCAATTCCCGACTGACTATAAGAACATCTATATTCAAAATATACTATCAAACTATTTTTCTTTTAGAGAAAGGAAGGGTCAGAGCAGTTATCATCTCTTCCAGCCACTATCAGGAAAAAAATAGAGAAGCAGCCGCCTCCAGAAGCCCCTGCCACATCTGAGGACCTGGCCCCTGCTGGCTGCAATGGACACAGCAGGGCTGGGAACAGCTGGCCGGGGCGGGCAGAAGTGGAGAGACAGGAAGACAGCTGGACCACAGGTCCACGGGCTGCTGCTGCAGGCAGGTCTGCAGCACCAAGTGGGGTACAGTGATGTCTCTTCCCAAGCAGGCTGCTTGGGCAAGCTTGTTTTCTAAGATTGCAGGAGGAAGGTTTCAAAAGTCCAGCTCTACATACCTCGAGGCTTCTTAGATAAACATGCTTGTCGGGGGCACACCCCCATCGCCTTTTGAGAAAACAGAGCTAAACCCCAACAGACATCCTGGAAGAAGGGCAAACGTTACACAGCTCCGGGCAGGGGTCTGCATCTAAACCCTCTCCAGAGAAAGGCACGGGTGTTTCCTGCAGATGTGGGTGTTGGCGGGGAGGCAGGAGGGCTTCTAAGGGGAGCATTTTCCCACCAGGGAAAGACAGTCTTGTGTCAGCTCAGCAGAAGCTCCCCGGCGTGAGATGTTAGGGTTGTGGTCTTAGGATGCTGCGATGTCCTCTGTGGATTCCCAAGGCTGCATGCTTCTGCCTGCTGTCCACCATCTGGATGGGGTTAAACTTGACATCAGTGGTGCCACGGTGAGGTTCCCGGGTGCTCATCCTCGGGGTGATGAGGCATTCCTTTCCTGTCTGCAGGAGACTGTCGTCTTCCCGCCAGGCGGCCTGTACACAGGTGTGCGTACAAGGAGGGAGGAGATGGGATCCCACCGAATCAAGAGGGCCAGAGCCTCGAGAATCCCTCAGGACTGTGTACTTGACCGTTTTCACATTCAGCTTCCATGGAAGGTCAGTCTCTCCACCTCACCTGCCGGGGCGTCTGGGATCCCCCAGTGCTCGAGGACAGGTATTAAGAGAAGCAATCAATGCAACGGCTTTGCTTAGAAATACCTTTATTTTATAAAGCCACGGATCATTCTGTAAAGTTTTTTTTTAAACCACACTTATAAAAAAGATGTTGACAATTCTTAGGAAAAAAAAAGCTGAAAATGTTTCTCATTAAGTCAGGGTTACACAAAGGTTATATTTATAATATATATATTTGTGTGTTTTTAACTCAGGCTGTTGGAGCTAGATCTCAGATACTTGGTCGGTTCCCACAAACAGTGTTTCCTGACAGAAGGGGTTAACGAGGACCATTCCGGTGTCTCTGTAGTCGCCGTTGGCTGGGGAGCGGGGCTCTGAGAGCTGGTCCTGGGGAAAGAGGGGAGACGCAGTGAGCAGAGAAGGCTTAGAAGGCGCGGTCCCTGGAGAAAAGGGAATGCTTCTGCACTGCTGGTGGGAATGCAAACTAGTGCATTCCTCTTTGGAAGACAGTGTGGCAATTTCTGAAAGAGCTGGAAATTGACCTTCCGTATGACCCAGCAATTTCCCTATTGGGAATATACCCGGGGGAACTCAAATCACTCTACAAAAAAGATACCTGTACACGTATGTTTGTGGCAGCTCTATGCACAATAGCAAAAACATGGAACCAACCATGTTGCCCATTGAAGCTGGACTGGATAAAGAAAACGTGGTACATATACACAATGGAATAGTATGTAGCCATAAAGAAGGACAAATATATGGATTTCGCAGCACCTTGGATAGATTTGGAGTTGATCATACTCTGTGATCTATCACAGAAACAAAGAACGGAGTACCATAGGTTCTCACTCATAAGCGGACCTTGAACAATTATAATACTATAAGAAAGGGGTTGGCAGCAGTAGGAAACTGTCAGAGGAGGGAGGGGCATACCTCACCCACAAGGGTACCTACATAATCAAAGTCTGTATATCTAACCCTGAATTGTACCCCACGTCTTTATAATAATAATAAAAAAAAAGAGGGCACGGTCCTAAAGAAATATATGTGGCCGGGCTCAGTGGCTCAGACTGTAATCCCAGCAATTTGGGAGGCCGAGGCAAGTGGATTGCCTGAGCCCATGGGTTTGAGACCCACCCAGGCAACTTGGCGAGACCTTGTCTTTACAATAAATACAAAATTCCGGCTACTTAATTCCTGTAATTTCAGTTACTTGGAAGGCTGAGGTGGAAGAATCGCTGGAGCCCAGCAGGTGGACACTGGGGTGGCCATGAGTGTGCCACTGCACTCTAGCCTGGGCGATGGAGTGATACTCCAACTCAAAAAAAAAAAAAAAGAAACGTACACACGGGAAAGTTGACTTCCTCATTGGTGTCCGGCACACACATACACTCTCCCTGCTGTGCTGAGGTGCAGAACCCTGTTCATTCAGGTTTTCATAGCAGCTTTCAAAAAAGGCTTTCCACTTCTTGAATCACCCCTACCTGGGTACCAGATGGGTTGCCTGAGATGTGACTGCTTTCCTTGCCCAAGTCCCAAGGGGCTTGCCATACAAGACACACACAGTGCACAGCTCATTGCTCTAGTGGGCAAAACTTGGTCTACTTGGATCCCAGACTCTACTTCAGGCTGCTTTCTCATAGACCTCTGGGAAATTTCTCTGCTTTTCCTTCCTGAACACACCTGACTTGTCCACCTGTTTCTTTTTGTGCACCCACCTGTCAGAATCCGACAGACCTGTCAGGGTCTTCGAGGTCCAATTGCCCCCAAACCTCTGTTGGTCCTCCCAGAGCCTGGTCAGAATTATTGCCCTCTTTCTTGTAGCACTGGAAGCAGTGAGCTGAATGGATCTGAATCTCTGTGTGACTGCACATAGATAAGTGAAAAATCCAGTCTGTATACTCAACTCCAGAAGCACAAAGTCCTAGAAACTGGCAATCCACTACCCAGAAGGTAATCTGAATGACTTTGGCAGGGTTTTGGCCTCACCACCTAAGGATGGCAAATACTTGCATTTTCGTCCAGGTACTAATTTAAGGAAGAAAAAAAAAAAAACCTTGAAGCCATTTCAGGGCAAAGACCCAACTATAGGCCAGATTTGTTTAGAAGTGCCTTCATTTCAAGAGACTAGTTTATTATCTGAAGTTTTTTGGGGGGGGTCGGAGTCTCACTCTGTCACCCAGGCTGGAGGGCAGTGGCACGTTCACGGCCACCGCAGCCTTGACCAGCTGGGCTCAGGTGATCCTTCTGCCTCAGCCTTTCAAGTAGCTGGAACTACAGGCACATGCCACCATACCCAGCTAAATTTTGACTTGTTGTAGAGATGAGGTCTTGCCAGGTTGCCCAGGCTGGTTTCGAACCCCTGGGCTCAGGCAATCCTCTCGTCTCCACCTCCCAAAATGCTGTGATTACAGGTGTGAGTCACCACGCCCAGCCACTGAAGTTTATTTTTAAACAAAGCATATACAATAGATACTTTCTGAGGAGTACTTACTGCTCTATGAATCATAAGGTAAGAAAGGAAGAAATGCCATTTTTGGATAAAATGTCTGATCAGAAGCCAAGAGTTTCCTTCAACATCTGGAATGAGTTGAGCACCCGCCAAAAGCGGCCATGGGACCGGGGAGAACAGGGCGCCCCTCAGAGAGAAAGTGCAAATACTTGTCCTTTACTGGGCATTGGTCTTGAGCCGGGAGGGGAATTTTGGGAGCTGAGATCTAGCTTGTGGTTTTACAGTTTTCGCAAAGCAAGTATTCACCAAAGGCAAACGATGTGGGTATGTTTCACTGCATAAAAAAAGAGAAAGTTATTTAGGAGATAACCAAGGCCAAAAAGAGGAGGAAAGGGAGAGGAGCTTGGGGAGGAAGAGACGGAGAAGAGAGAATGGCAAAGTTCCCAAGCACTGTCTGGGCATCCCAGTTTTGCCTGCACAGCCCGGGACCTGTGTGCGGCTTTCACCGACATGGGAGGGGGTGGCGCACCAGAGAAGCTGCTGAGGTCGCGCATCTTGCGGTCTCCAGAGCTGGCGGCCATGGCAGGTGCTGAGTGCGCATCCCTGGGACGCAAAACTCGGCGGACTGCGCCAGGACCGAGGATCCCTCTCTGGGTGGCGGTGGCTGCCTGTGTGCCCAGCTGTCTCCATCCTGGCTCGGGCTGCCTGCGTGTGCCCTCGGGTCGTGGGAACTCAGAGAGTTGGAACACACTGCAGCCTCCTAATCTGCAGAGTGAGGAGGGCTGGCCACCGGGAGGGAAGCGGCCATCACGTTCACTGTGAGGCCAGGCCACACCCCAGTGCTTCCGCTCTGGAGGGCACAACTGGCTGGGCAGCCTTTCTGCCAGAGCCGTGGATGGCAGCCTGGGCCCCGAGGAATGGCTCGCTGAGAAATCCTGCATGCAAGGGGCTTTCCTGCAGTGTGTGCACAAGTACTGTCCTTGGGTTTTAGTTTTCATTTCACTTACCAATCTGCAAAGGTATTCCCTTATTCATTTGATAAACATTTCCCAAGTACCTACACATGCCAGGTGCTGTTCTCAGTGCTGGAAATAGGGCAATGCATACAACAAACCATCTCCTGCCTCCTCCAGCAGGAAGGCCAGGCCGAAAACCAGGCAACAGAGGGACGATGACGCATTGTGAGGCAGGAAGAAGCACTCTGAAGACCAAAAAAGCAGGCAAGGGGACAGGGTAAGGGTGGGGCTCGAATCAACAGAGAGCAGTCAGGGAAGGCCTCCCCCAGGAGGTGATGCTTGAACAGAGACCTCAAGGAGACAGAGGATTGAGGCATCCAGGGTAAAAGTGGTCCAGACAGGCGCAAAGCGCTGCTCTCATGGGGGCCAAGCTTCCTTTGCCGGCAGAAGAGCAGAGAAGCCAGAGTGGC